ATTATTATGATAAGGTTTTCAACGATATTATGCAAGGTTATGATTTCGAGAATTGAAGAATCGATTATTTAAAAAAAATCGATTAAGGATTGACATTTATTATAATAAGATAGATAATGATTTCCGGGAAAAATACATTTAAAATGATGAATTTCTTTTCCATTACGAGTATATTGTTAATTTCTTTGAATGCATATTTACCAAAATTGTCGTTGGACTACAAACGACAAAGATGATATCACTTTGATTAAACGAACTTATCAATGATAAACGTTGTATCGGATTGTTTATCTGTATCGGATAGGAACAAAGGCGTTGTACGTATATGTAATATATTACATACTAGCTGTTCCTGTGCGGCTTCATCCGCATGTAATTATGAAGATTTTATTATATTTTTTACATTTGTTAAATTATCAATAGCAAATGTCAAAATGACATGACATGATGACAAAGCATGGCAATTTGGCTTCCTTGATGTTGGCAGCAACTTATGGTCAACTTACCCACAACCCTAAGGTTTTTATCCAAAATATTTACCCCCTTAGTTTAATGGCGTGAAAATATATAGCCTACAGCTTGACGTAAGCGTTGAGTTTTTTTTATTAAAAAAAACAATTATTCAAAAATATGCTGTAATTGCTGACATCTTAGACAACAAAGAAGTGTGTGTTTGCTTTATTATAATAGTATAGAAGTATAGATATTACGTACAAATCGAAGTACGACAGTTTGTTTTCTCTCATACTGAACTAAATTGTACTGTTACATTTAGTTTATGGTAATAAATAACACTTTACCAGGTGCTTATACAAAGTTCACTTTCTCATATACCATTAAGTTCGCTAATAAAATTTGATTTCACAGACTTACCAATGTAAAACGTGTTAATTACGAACAAAATTCATAAATTTTATGAAACCACTGCACTGCAGATTTTTGATGTTGTTATAATCTTATCAAACTAATAATCAGGATCCTAGAAGTAACAAGCGAAATATTAATGAAAATACAATTCAATTTTTATGCCAAATAAATGATTAAAAACTATAAATAGCGAACCTCCACCTCTTTTGGCGACCATGATGTTTATTTTCGTATGGTCGAAGAACTCTGGCGACGTTCCAAACATTTTGTGACGATGAAGATTTTTCGAGAAATTTCATTTGTACCTAATAATACATTAAAACTTTCTCCGGAATGCATACGAAGGTATTAAGAATTCGGTTGTAATGGAAACGTTTAAGTATTAATATCGAGCGATGGCGGTGCCAATGGCGATGGCCAGGTCGCTCGTATGTAGGGCGCCGGCGCGTTCGTATCGGCCTCGACGCCCGACCGGTTGCCATCTTTGGAACTACGACCGGTTTTGACAGAATACGTACTTACACTTTGCAATAACAGTTAACTTTTACGCTAATAAATGTAGTATTAAACGAATGAATTATCTATTCACGTTTGTAAAGGCCGATTAAATTTATAAATCATCGGTTTGATTCAGCGCGTGAAGAGTAGGAGAGCGTTCTGCGAAATGTATTTATCACAGACAATAAATAATAGTGTAGTCAGTTCGCGTCGGATATCATAACTATCTCCTTTCACGTCTCTATTAATCATGGGATAGGGTCGTATCGGCAATCAGCATGGCCATGGCCGGGCACAGCACGATGACTCACAGTGTCAGGCAGGGCGCGCGAGGGACGTTTGTGAATCATGCCATACCATTATGCACATATTGATGTCGCAGGTAACAGAATCGCTATTGTATGCGGTGCTCTATTGTGCAGTCGAACTTTTGAGGTCCCCGTAAACGATTGTTAATGCCGTATTGTTACACCGTTCGTATGCGTAGGTTCGTTATTTAGATAGGAACAATAACAGCGCAAAGGCTGAAGCGGGATTTAAATATCGGACCCCTTTTTTGGGGTTGCAAAGGGGACAGAATGGCACGTGTTTGTCGTACGAATTCATAAATGTTTGATCGTAAATTTCGAAAATATCAAACGCAAGCACGTATTTTTTGTTTTTGCTGACAATATACCCATTAATTTCTAAAAGAAAAGTGAAAATATTTACATAGTTAATTAGGTATCATGACGACTAATTAGTATTGCTAATGTATTTTTAAATTTTAGTTCATGATATTATCTAAAGTTTTTTTTATTAATTATATACGTTAGCATTGCAATTATTCGAGAAATTCAGAATTAATTATTAAACTGAAAAGAAAGTTGCAATAGCGAACTGACAATCGGTACGCGTTTATACAAGTGCTGCCATCTATTATCAATGTGAGTCAGTTTTTTAGTTGTAAAACGTTTGGTTTTATCAGCGTAATTAATTTTAAAACAAACGTTGTAATTTGCTTCGGTTACGGTAAATATATCTTTTACAATTATACATAAATATATAATTTTATTAAATATGTAGTTTTAGTAAGAACCGGTCGATGTCCATACCTACGTGACTCAGGCAAACGAATTGTTTAAACTAACACTTTTAGAAGCCTGTTTATTTTTTTAATCAGATTCTCACCATGCAATGACGTAAGTCTTTTTTATAACTCCATTGGATTATTATTTTAGGATATATACATCCGAATAATAAACCAAGTAATGACTTGCAAAGATGTATTAAAATCTTTGATAAAGATTTCATTGGAAATAATGGTTTATAGCATATAAAATCGGTGATTCAATTCTTTCGATATTGTTTACAAACTAAAAAACATGTTTCAATATTACTGGCCATAAAAATGTTATTGTTTTCTTATAAAAGCTCACTAATAATCCTAAATGCTGTTACTAACTACTAACTACACTGTTATTCCTCATTTCTTGTCCCATGTTACACATCTTTAATATCTCATACTCATGAGATCTTAATACTGTTGGTTTCAAGTGGCTTGGGACACGATAACTTAAAAGTCGTACAGTAGACGTCTTAACTAAACCAGACAGAAACACAGTCGTTTATTGATAGCCTATCATTTACTAGACATTTTAATCGATATTTCTATCTCCGTAATAAATTCTTTATTATGTAAATTTGATTTTTTTATTCGAATGACGTTTGATTTAATTTAAAATTATTCCATTTAAAATTTAGTTTTGTAGAAAACGTTTTACTTCAGAATAGACAATATTATGTTTATTGTGCAGTCTACCTACAACAAAGCTAAATTATGATCACACTAGCTTTCGCCCGCGACTCCGTCCGAGTGAAATTAAAAAATAATACAAAACGTAACCGATGTTACTCACTGATAAAGTAGCTTTTTAATGGTGAAAGAATTTTTAAATTTGGCCTAGTAGTTTTGAGTTATTTCATTACAATCAAACAAACAAAGTTTTCCTCTTTATAATATTAGTATGATGAATCTTTAAGCGTGCGCACGGCTTTGTTTAAATTATCGCACAAAATTTGTGCGATTGAATCGCAGCCCATTCAACTGTTTAGTTGCACAACTAAAAATCGAGTATTGTGCGCACATAAGCTCATAGGAATTAAAACGCGACAAAACAGTTGTGCGATAGTTCAGTGTCAGTTGTGCGTACGTTCTTAGTTGATAAATGTCTGCATTTGTCTCGTAATTGTGAATGTATTTGTCTCTCATTCATAATTCTTTCAAACAACGTCATAGCGATATACGCCGGTAGTCATGTGTTGTGATTCCATGATAATCTATTCATATTTCCTATGAAATGTGATACATAAACGACTCTAAGCAGTATTATATTAAATGCATAGTATGAGACATAATGATTTGCATTTATGCTGTGTCGTTCTAATTGTATTTTTTTTCATAGCAGACTGAAGTTTTCGTTATAATGTCTCGATTCTAAAATATTCTCGTAAAACAGTTTTTCTCAAATAACTTTTTACAACTAGCTGTTTCTCGCAACTTTCTCTGTATGAATTAAAAAAAATATATACTATGTTACTCACAGATAAATTTCTTTTCTAATATTGAAGGAATTTTTACAATCGGTCTAGTAGTTTATACACGTATACACGTATACACGAATCGAATACATACAAAAATACAAATCTTTCTTCTTCATAATATTAGTATACATTTAGCGACCCTTATTCGGGATAATTTTCACAAAATAATTGAAGAAAATAAATAACGTAATGGTCGCGATTATTTGAAACGTGATTAAAATTATAATTATTTTGTAATAATTTACGGACATTTTAATCGTAATTACGGATTAGATGAACGTATGTGATTGTACAAAAACCCTATGTTCCAACAACGAGAGTCGCATACAATGATGTAGGAATATTTACATTTCGCTTTGTCTTGATACCTACTGACTTGTTTACGCGCAAACAACGCAAGGCAATAAATGTTTGATTTGCATATTGTGTAATTTTACATATATATAATATGTACATTATCGAAATGTGCCTCGTTCTACATAAAGATAAACATACAGCATATGTGAAAATATGAAATAATATTAAAGTGAACAGTCTAAAACGTGGTAAAACCATTTACTCGTACGAAGACGTATCCTTGTAAATGAGAATTGCAATATGATCTACAATCTCATGGTTGGGAACGTGAGTTAAATAACTATGTAAATGAACTTCAATGTTTACGAATAAAACTTTCCAATGTATCAATAAATAGGAACATTAACAAACCACAATCGTATGAGAGACAAGTAATACAAGATTAAGAACATTCTACACATGCTTTACAGGTGTACCAAGCAGTGCCATTAAGCAAGAGTTGCAAATGCTACGGGGCCCGCGAATTTGGGGGCCCCGTGCTCTAACGCCTGTCCGACAGTAAAATAATTGTTTTATTTAATACCCTAAATTGGAGAAACTAAAGCAAACTAAGGGCTCCTTGACAGAACTAGCTACAGGGCTAGCTCGCGCTGGCTTTTGGCACTGGTACCATCTTTGAGAAAGCACTTACGGAAGTGTTTCGCCTCCAAGTTATGTTGTATATTTATATCTAGAGAAATATAACGTTAATTTACCTTTTCTTATTAATAAGCTCGTGACTCTACGAAGCGCTTCTCGCGGTGATTTCTGGAAGAATTTGGGCGTTAGGTTTGGCGGGAGAGTTAGCGGCTTGCGCGCGCCGGTACCTTCCCACGCCACGGGGTGGTCTACGCCTATCTTGGACGATGTAGTCAGTCTGTCTAAGTGTTCTGTCGACGCGGGCCTGGAACAAAAATAACATATTAACAAACGATAGAAGTGGTTTTAGAAATAGGGCCTTAATTCCTTCAAGTTATTTGCAGAAATGTCTATATTAATATTATAAAGAAGAAAGATTTATATACATTTGTATCTATTCCAATAATCATAAATTACTTGGACAATTTAAAAAATCATCTCACCATTATAAAGCTACATTATAATTGTAGTAACATAGTTTGTTTTTTACTAATTTTAAAATTCTCGTGGGCGAAGTAGCAAGCAACAGCTAGTATTAAATATATTGGGACATTCTTTGGCTATGAATTACTCACTAAAACATAAAACGTTTGGTAACCATTGGTATCATCTATTCACTATATTTTGAAAGAAAATTTGGGTCTGTCCCACCACTGGCTGATAGAGGCTCAGATAGCTTAAAAATGACGTCACTGTCAGATAATGGAACAAAATCGGATATTTCCATCACATATTTTACACGTTGGATTGTTATCAGACAACTTACAATTTGGTGGGACAGGCCCTTAGAATACAATACGTTATTTTTGTTTATATACATGTCTTCTGCGGTTGAAATTCATAATAAAATGTATCTGTATCTGTATGAGTATTAATTAGAGTAAATCAAAGTATTACCAGTAAATTTAAGTTACCTGTGTCGTTGTCGTGGGTACCAGCCGCGCGGCGGGCCGCCCAGCCGCAGCAGGTCTGCGCCCGTGCACACGCCCGCCGCGCCCATCACAGACCCGCGCCCGTACCCGCCCAGCGTCGCTGAACTCCCTGCACATACCACATTATTTTAATGCCCAAGAACTTAATTTACTATCGACAAGATTTATTAAATTTTTCTATTACCCATTAATGTGAAAAGCACACGTCGACACAATCTTTAAATAATGTAGTTAGTCACTAAAAAATAGACCAAGCACTAGTACAAACGTAATATCCGAAATGTTTTTTTATCAGCTTGAATTATTTCTACAATTTAAATGATTAATAAGGTATATCACAAAATTTTACCTGAGCAACAAAAAAGAAAAATCCCTAATACAGGAACAACTAACTTTAAGCGACTCTTCCGTTTTTTAATAAAACTCTCGATGTTTCTGCTCTCACTATTTCAACACGACTAAATAAATTATGAAATTAAAAACAACGATTTGCTATTGATTAAACTATTATATGTTTTTATATTGCGTAAATATTTACGTTTTCTAGTAAACATTTACGTAAAATGGTTTTGAAAACAAAAATAGAACAATACCATAAAAGATGTCATGAATGTCTATTGTTACTGATTTCTTGAGCAAAGGGCTGCATAGACGCATCCACTAGATGCTTTAAATTGTCTCTACCGTAATTAAATACTAGCTTTTACCCGGGATTTCGTCTTCCCAAAATTAAAAACAGCATAGTAAGTAGCCTATGTTTTCTTCCAGTCTATGTTCTACATCTATGACAAATTTCATTGAGATACCTTTAGCCGTTAAGATATGTAAAAACCTCAAATCTATCCATATTTTCTTTCGTATTTATAATTTTATATGATATAGTTGTCTAGGTATTTTCAAATGGAATGATAAGGACGGCATCATCATCTTGTCCTTCTCCCATTCATGTACGTACAGGAGCTGATCTTTCTCCAACTAAACACCAAAATTCTCGACACTGGCAGATTCCGCAAAGGAAGGAAGGCTTACATGATCTATAGCCCTAATCTATGATCACTTGAATTGCATCCATACTTGCCTATGGTCTGTATAGAATTCATAGTATTGTTGCGCGGCGGCCCCGTGGAGTTCCTGGGCGGTGTTCGAGGCACGTCGCAGCCGCGCGCGAATACCGGCGTCTCGGGCAGGCTCGCAGATGTCTGCAGCGGGCCGCGGGACCCCGCACTCGGCTCTCGGTTCTGACGCTGCAGGGTGCGTCGGCGTGCCCCACTTGCACCAACATCTACAACGAAATAAGAATCGGAGTGATAGAAAGTTTCTAGAAAAATACAGCTGTATAAGAGATCTGAATAGAAACAAGCTTGTAGCATTCTCATTTAAATAAAAAATAAAGTCAATTCCTAATAAGGTTGACAAAAAGTTTTATAAAGCGACATCTATGATATTTTTGTCCGAAACATAAAGCTGCATTCCACGACTCTAATCACTTAGATAGATAATAGATGGCGCTAGTAGTCTAAATTGCACTACAAAGTAAAATAGGTAACTTGAGTAAATAAATAGCAAGTAGTTTATAATTAACGATAAAAATTGTTACCTGTTGGTAAAGTTCTTCTGTCTGTGGAACCAGATTTGAAGTTGCTGCTCCTGCGGTTCTTGTTGTATCCGGCCTCCATGGAGCGCGTCTTGAGGCTGTTGGTGGCGTCCCGGTGCGGCGGCACCGCCGGCGGCTCCGAAGGCCTGCCAGGTGCAAAGTACAACATCAAATATAATCAAAACGAGCCTAGCCAAGGCTTACGTTAAGAGTATCCACCACGCTCCTCATACTACCACGACTCGTAATAAAACACTTTTGGTTGCTTTTAAATCATTATCAGCAAGACATCCCTAATTCTGTATGTCCAATTATTTTTTATTTACCCCAAATAAAAAGGGTTTGGTTTTTGTATCTACTTGTAAATAGCAGAATATGCATACCTCCTTCTAGACTCCAGTGTGGGGGTTGGTAAGGTATCGGCTTTTTTAACATGACGGCGCTCAGTCGGTTGCATTATCTCCGTGTATTCGTCCTCGACTTCTTGCACCGGGGACGGCGGCAGCGGAGGGAATTTAGGAGACTCGGGAGTCTGAGGAAGGGGTCCTCTCTCGTGGCCGAGGTTGGGCGACGGGGGCAAAGGAGGCCTGTACGGGTGTTCCACTATTTGGACATTTAGTGGAAAGTCTCCCCCGCTCGACACCGCCGAGTCCGACGACGAGGGCTGACGCACTAAGCCAACGGGCGCGTCCTTCGAACTGGTCGACTTGTGCATACTGTTCGACCGGCGGCCGGATGACCGGTCACGGCGGTCCATCGACCTGTTTTGTATTTCATTGTGGCTGGATGACTTCTGGATGTCGTGTCTCCTATGCTTGTCCCTAGAGCTATAACGGTAATTGGTTTCTAAAATCTCCTTAGATACATCATCACAATACTCGTCCTTATGTATATTCCAGTCTTTAGGCATGTACGGTGTAAAGTGTTTTTGGTCCCGTCCCTGACTTAGAATAGCGCTAATATTATTTTCGATCTTGCGGAGCGGCGAGGTGTCCCCGCTGGAGCCGGGCTCCCCGCTCTCCGCGTCCTCCTCCTCCTCCACCGTGGTGATGAGCGCCTGCCGCCCCGCGCCGTTCCCCTCCCCCTCGCCGAGACTCGGCAGAGATATCACTCGGACTATGTTCGGTGGGACCGTGGTCAGCTCGTTCACCGTCTCGTTACATTCTATTTGCGGAGCTTCCTCCACTTTTCCTTCTTTGATTAACGATTGAATGTTATCGAATGTAGACGAATACTTTTTGAAATCAGTAAATCTGTTCTGCGGCGACAGTTTGCTTTGAGAAACATTACTCTTGGGTGTTACGGATTTTTCTGCATTAACTTTTCTGCTCTTAGGACTGTGTCCGAAAAATTCCGGGTTGATGTACCTATCTTGGCCGTTGTTGAGATCTAAACTGAGTCTGGACTTGGGCGACGTCATCTCCTTGCTAAGTCTGGAATTGGGCGTGGACAGATCTATGCTGTACCTGGAGTTGGGAGTGTGCAGCTCGCG